ATGCTGTCTGTTAAAATGGTCAGACAGTTTTGATGGCCGGAGGTCAGCATTTGAAAACACCGAGTTACACAACACACACTGTGGGCGCTGAGTTCCATCAATCTCTGTCATACAGGTGAACCAGTAACGAACATAGTCATCGTCCCACTTGCGTTTCTTCGACATGGCACCCCAAACTTCTCACGTAGTATTCCACAGATGTTGAAGATTTTTGCTTGGAAGTAAAATATAACCCAGACATTAAAAACCAGTGGCTAACTGAATTAAAACAAAGCCACTTCTCATGCCATCCTGCTACTGTGTACATGTCAAGAAATGTCCTGTAATATGTCAGTTCAAAGTAAGCCATGACAATATGACAACTTAAATTGAGCAAACTCACAGCTAAAGCCCTGGAACAAACACCTTGCCAGCAAGTTATATATGAGATTAGGGCTTATGCAAATTGTGAATACCCTGTAAGTTCTCTATTGGTGAGCTGCAGTTACGGCTTACTTTGTTTTCAGTGATGTATATTCCAAACAAATCTGGTACATTTTGTATCCCCAGAAAAGGCATCTCACCTGCCATCCCTTCCTTCCATCCTATGCCAGAGATGCATGCACACCCCCCAGTTATGAACTAGTGAATGGAGAATGAAGTCTTCACTAAATACTCTAAGAAGGGCAGATTTTGACATGGTGGCTAGTTCTTTCTAATATATAAGGATTTAAATCAAACAGTCTATAAAACTCTTTTGATCCTTGAGTGGCTTTGACTCCAACCTAAGCAGAGAATTTCAGACAGGTCTGACTAAGCCACCTTTGACACAGAAGCAGGATACGCACTATCAGTCCATGATTCACACTGTCATATAAAAAAAAAGCAAAACAAGAAGCTCAGGAGAAACACAACTATTCTTGTTACTGAAATTTCAGAAAAAGTTCTCTCACAGAAGAAAAGCCTTAATCACTTATCGGCCTTTTGGCTCAGATCAAGTGTAGAAGAAAAGCCTTAATTATAGTAGGAAAGGATGTAGAAGGCAGGCATTCTCTAGTTTAGTAAATAAATGGAGGAATCAAAAAAAAAAAGGAGGAATCATCTAAGTCTCTTCCTAAAATACATATTCTTGGACCCTACACTCAGATATTCTGATTCCCTAGCTCTGGAGTAGGGGCCACAAGTATGCACTCTAAATAAAGTATTTTAGATAATTTTTCTGAATAGTACCCAGAACAGGAATTTCCTAATGAGATTGCCTATCACATTCACTTGGAGCACTTCTGAAAGAAAACATGTCCCTGCACCACCTCAGAACTACTACATCATCATTCTCCAGAAGTAGGACAAAAGAATCTAAAATAAAGTTGTCCAGGTGATTCTGATACATATCCAAGTACACAGACAGATTTAGAGGAATGAACACATCCCCAGGCCAATTCCTAGCCTTATAGATATTCTAGGTTGCTAAGTAAACACTGAATGCTTTAACACCCATTTACCTTTTCTGAGTTGATGACAACTTCCTATGAAAGCTGAGGGACCTAAAAAGAAAGATATGTTTGTTTGTATTTTTCCTCTTTCTCCCTCCTGAGCAATGAGTAATGGTATAACCCACATGTAGGCTCAAATATACCTTAGAAAACAATTCTATCTCCCATATAAATGATTCCCAAAGTTCTGTGCCACAGAATGTGGCTGAAATAATGTAACAGGGGTACACTGAAATCCAAATACCCACTTTAGCCATAAAAAAAATCACAGGAAGCAAGCCCAGAATATTTACTTAAAGCCCTAGCTTGCTAGAGGCTCTGCCAAGAATAACTAGTTGTAAAACATACTTCTATGTAACTAGTAAATTGATTTGCCATATGGTTGCTATCGACCAGTTGAAAATTGAAAGATGTCTGCCAGTCGGTAAAGACAATTTAGAGTTGATCTTAAGCTTTGTCAAGTGAGGAGACCATGGGCAGACTGTTTAGAACCTCTCCTAGCTGATAACAGCATTATGAGATGAACATAGAAAAATGCTTATCTTTCTGTATACTGTTATGTATATTTTGGGAGTACAGAGAAAGCGAAGGAGAAAGTTTTATTTCAAATGATTTTCTTTACTTCAGGTTTACTTCTAATGACTTCCAAATAGAAATTATAGAATGAGTTAAGAGTACATTCCTATCCATTCTATGCTACTCACATATATTTTGATTGAAGATTTACCTGTTTGGAACAAGAGAATTTTTAGAAAAATTCTTCTCCCTCCCCCTCAAAAAGGGAGACTAGGTAGCAAGAAGTTTTAAGATCCTCAAAGATGAACTTACCGCCCAAGAGGCTTTCTTGTGTTATAGAATCTCACAATTCTCACTTGTTCCTTTGTGGTATTTAGCAATCACAATACCCTAAAATATGTAAACATTAAAAAAAGCATCAACTTATTAAGGAATTATTATTAACTGAAACAGTGTGATAATGGTATGGTTGTGTTTTTAAAGTCTTCATTATTAGAAACACAGACTTAATTATTTACTGGTGGAATGATGTCTGGGCTCTCTGAAATACTGTACTTCAGCACACACACACAATGGGGGTAGGAATAGAACAGGACTGGTCTTGAGTTGGCTGGGTGATGGGCACACATCATTACACCGTACTCACTCTATGTATGCTGGAAATTTCCCATAATAAACAGTAAAATAAACAAAAAGGCTTACTTACTAAGATAGACATAATTAGTTTTCGAAAGTTTTTTTTTGAGAAATTTTGAAAGCCATCTGAAGATGCAGAATGAAAGAACAGATACAACAGAGCAAAATGTTTTGCAAGTTTATGAAGGGTAAATATCAAACAGAATCACAATTGAGAGAAAAATCAGTCAGTTACAAGTAAACATTAATATAACAGAAATACCCAGGGAAGGCTAAAACATCTATTTCAGCAGTGACAACATGCAAAGTGCAGCAGTAAACTTAAATACCAAACAAAACACAATCAAACTTCTATCTGGCCTCTGCCTATGCCAGTCCATGGTAGGTGCAGGTATCCAGGGAGGCAGAGGGTTGAAAATTCACTATCTTTACGTTATTAAAAGCAAAAGCCAGGAGAGAAGGAAAAGTAATAGCCGAGCAAATGCTCCAGAGGCAAACGCCTGGGACGCTGGCTTTGTCACTTAGAGGCTGGGACCTGTCCAAGCTTCAATCCCTCAACTGGGGATGACAATAGTACCTACCTTATAGGGTTGCTGGGAGGTTTAATTATGAGCGTGCATGTAAACGACATGGGCTCGTAACTGGCAAGGCTTGTTGGTGTATTATAAAGGACGGAGCATTTAGGAGGCTGCCCGGGCGAGCTAAGGACGCCGGTGGCGCGGGAAGAAGACTGCTCGGTCTCCAGCCCACGGCTCCGAGACATAGGCGCAGGCCCAAGGGATGCTCGGACTTCTTTTAGGCGCCCGTTTCGGGTTCCACTTCCCTCTCCGTTCAGGCTGGGGCTCAGCCTCCGGGCGCTGGAACCAGTCTAGGCGGCGGCTCCTCGGGTGCGACCCCGGAGCAGGAGCCTGCGGGGCGCGGTGTGATAGCTGCGCCCGCAGCGTCCCCCGCTCCCGCCGCGCCGGGCTCCATCCGGGTTCTCCTGGAGCCTTCCCGCCCGCAGACAGGGCGAGGCGAATCCCCGCACGCAGGCGCACTGGCAAACGGCTAGGGCCCCCCCACCGCCGCCAGGAGGGAGCACGCGCGCTGGTTCTCTTTTCGGGTTGTGTACGTGGAGCTGGGAATTTTCTGCATGTTGTGTATGCAGAGAAGATGCATCGTAGAATCTCAGGGACGAAAGGCACTGTAAACCCACATAGTTCTACTTTTTAACATTCAGAGCACTAGAAATAAAATTTTATATTGTCAGGCTTTGATCCTGGCGATTATGAAGCTACAATAATTAACCATTTTCTTTGTGGAATTAATGAGGAAGAAGAGAAGGAAGTTCATTCTACTTCCAAATTAAACATCCAGGCAAATGAGACAAGCTGTACATTCTGTCAAGATAAAACGGGAGAGGATGGTCTTGTGTCCTCTTGCCCATGCTGTTTGCCCTCATCTCCCCATTAATTAGAGCGTGTGGGTGAATTTGCTAAGAATCATCATCCATCTCAGAGAAATGACTTTTAAGATTCTTTTAAACAAGACGTTTAGAGAAATAAACCCATATCAGATTTTAGAGAAAAACTCTAAAGTAGAAACTAGAAAATGTTGAATGAAACAAACCTAAATACAGTCCTCTTTCCTATTTTAAGGGTTTTTAATGAAATCACATTTTATTCATTTTTGTATAGTCAGTCTTGTGAGAAGCATCCTACAAGCCTAGGGGAGGGAGAAGTGTCAAAGAATGTGGGACAGATACCTCATTTTCAGGTATTGAGGGTGAACCTGATAAAAACACCAAGAACCTGCCTATGGTTTCTGTCAATGAGAAATTGCAAAAGACCACCCTTCCTGGTCCAAAATCTGGGCCTTAAATGTTAGAGAAAGGAATAGGCTTTAGAGTCAAAGACTTTGGTTTACATCCTGACCCCAAACTTTTACTGTTAGGACCTGAGCAAGCTACCTGGACTCATTGAGTCCTTATGCTTATTGTGAAATATGGATATCATCCTATTACTCATCCATTTAAGTCTTCTGAGGGGTAACATGTGCAAACTATAGCACATAGTTCCAGCACTCAAGTCATCTATAACTGATATAATAAAATCAAAGCTCATATCTTGAGTAATGTTCTAGATGTTACCGTTTATCCAAAATGAAACAGAAATAAGACATGATTTCAGATATTATAGAATTCTTCCTAAAATCAGCATAAATTAGCTTTCACAAGAGAAAACAGAAGCCCAGAAATGTTAGGCGATACATTTTTTTGAATTAAAGTGTGCTGAAATTTTCTAACTCAAATGTGCAGAAGCTAACTCAGCCTTCCTCCCAGTCCTATAAATTGTTTTTCTGCCAAATATATGAAATAATGCTGCAAACCACTCACAGTTAAATATTTTCAATTATATATCTTTATTAACAAAAGATAAATAAAATACAAAGTAGACAATAATATCAGATTTTACACTGAACCAGCCTATGTTAAGGTAGGAATATGAAAACATAAATTTTTGACATTCTTAAAGTAGGTAAGAATTAGATTTGTTTGCATCACTGTTTTAATTTCATATTGGTCTGAATTTAGATACAATGTATATCCACAGTACTTGACAGTTTGATTCAGTTAACTTTCCCATCAGCAGTATTTCTGAGATGTTAACTTAATGCAATATTCAAGTGGGATTTGGTAGTTTGGAAAAGCCAGTGAACTGTTAAAAGTCAATGTACTTGTGTCAGGGGTTTTAAACAGATTGTTTTCACCGATCCCACTCTGTCAGTGTTATCTTCCCAATGTTATTAGAAGAAGCTTAAAAATCATGTCATTCTCAGATACTAATAGCCCTACTGGCTCTGCTTGTAATATTCTGAAGAAACCTTCAACCTCAGGTTTCACTTTTTGCAAATTTTATCGAGAGACACCTGCTGGCTATAAAGATTAGGTACAAGAGATACTCTACAATCTTTAAAAAATCTAATATTCTTGACTGTTATATAAAGGCAATCACAATTAAAATAGCAATTAATATCACAAACCATATCCTCTGTGACAAAGGAGAGGATTTCTGTATCTGAATACTCCTGTCCAGAATGGTAAAACACCTAGGACTGATCAGTCAACACTGACTCAGGGTGAAAACCTTTTTTCCCCATTCAAAGGCTAATACATTTAGTTCTGAGTATAAGATACAAGGAAATGTTTTGAAAATCAAAATTTTATAGCCAAGTGGGAAACAGAATTTTTACTACACAGACTTGACATCAGGGATAAAGTTATTCACACGTTCTACAGATTTCCTTCCAGTAATCCAAAGCTCAAGATAGGTTATCAGTTTCAGATCAGAAAAATATGAGAAGGCAAAAAGAAATGATTATTAAATAACTACAGTTATAGTTACTATTAACTAAAAAAAAAAATGAAGCCCTTGTTTCAAGAAAGAGTAACTAATTGGCCTTCACAATGAGTCCTAACACTAGATAAAGGGCCATAAAAATTGAGGAAATAAAGTTTGAAACTTAATAAATAAATGTTGAGAAGATATTCATGATAGATGGAGAACTAAGATCTTTTCCCACATCACTAATATAAAATCTGAAATAAAATCTTAATCTGCACTTAATGTACCACTTTATTTCTTCTTCTTTGTTCTTCACTGTGTAAAGGAATGAATTTACTATGAGACTTTTGGATGCTTTATTAGGCAGTCTCCTTGCTTCCTGACTTTAACGAGAATAGATATGGGGTTTTCCATCAATAATCAACAGCAAGAATCTAAAAGAATGCATTAGCAGAGTCTATCTTGGGTCACCGTCAGTGATGAGTTACTACTGTCCGAGGAAGGAGGCCATGGGGTCATCTGGCCTCTGACGTTTCATTCTGTAGGCCTCCATTTCCTCTTCAGTGGGTTCCCGAGTTTCATATATGCTGTTGTAAGGTCGCTTCCTCTCGTCGATCTGCATGATCTCCTTGACGTGAAGAAGACGGGCCTCCTCTGCATTCAGTGCCTATAGTGAGAAGAAATACATGAGTACCATGGCTCTGAGTCAGATCCCTTTGGTTCAGAAGTGGCAGAGTACCAAAAGATCCCACTGTCTATGAACTGTTACATCAAAAACCGAGATTGCCTCAGCTTGGGAGTCAGCTCTATCGCTGTCAAGCTACAACTAATCATTATTTGGCTCAAAAATTTTCACAGAGCACAAAACATTCTATGACATTTTCAATGTTAAAGAAATTTTATTTAACAACAAAAACTGAATGAGATTCATTTTACTGACAGAAGCCGGCAACTGACGCTTTTGGTGGGAATACAATTCTGACTTTTCCCAAGACTTGCTGAAACTTATTGCTGAAAATTATAGAGCTAGATGGCAATTCTCTCTGGGGAACAGGTCAATAACTCTAAAATAACAGCGATACCAACCATTTTTCTTCTGTGCATTAGTGATATTCAACAAAAGTTCAAAAGGCAGGCAATACGGAGACATACAAAATCTCCATTTGTATTCTAGACCTGATAGGTGACCCAAGCAAATCACCCAGTCTTAGGGTTTGTTTGCTTATTTTTAAAATGAGCTTGGGAATAAGACAAGATAATTTTCTAAGATTCCTACAAATAAAGACGACTGTGGTCACTTTTACTATTTATTTAGCTTTCACAAAGTACCTTTTTCAACTTCTCGTGTTTCTTTTCCTCCTCATCACTCTCTGAACTGCTCTTCCGATGCTTCCTCTTCTTCTTCTTCTTCTTCTTTTTCTCCTCTTTTAGTTTCTCCTGATGCATCTGAGGATTTACATAGTGTTATTAATGCAAAACCAAAGTTCTAGTGCAAGTTTTAAAGTCTTCCCTTTAAGACTTAAAAACTCAGGACAACTGATCATGGACATACCTCCATGAGGGTTTGAGGTTTTTTCACAGATTCTTCTCCAGTTGCATCATTTATAATACACTCCTCTGAATTCTGTGGAAAAATATATGTAATCTAACTTGAGTGTCTTAAGAAAAAGTTAAATTTGAAACATAAAAATATATGTTTCATACAGATTTTTGATCTAAGAGCTTTGGCTGTTTTTACGAACTAGAGGACAATTACTTACAACAATCTCCTTCCCAGCTTCTCCAGTACAATAGGAATACTTGAAAAAAGAGTGACAGCATTTGTATCCCCATCGGCCTTCTTTCCAGTAAGATCCCCAGATATGCTGCAGAGAAAGAGAGAGGTTATTTTAAAAGGAGCCTGAAACAGGTTTCTCATATACTGTTTTTCTTTGTAAAAAAATCCTATCTTTAATTAATCATATTATTTTAAAAACCTGAAGTAGAGGTGATTTACCTCTACCTGACTAACACCTGTTAGTTTCAGGTGTACAGCACAGAATATATACATAGATATATTTTATTTTTCCTCTTTCAGATTCTTTTCTCTCATAGATTATTAAAAAATATTGAGTACAGTCCCCTGTGCTATACAGTAGGTCCTTGTTGGGTTAGTCTCACATGCTGGTGATAAAAAGTGAAAATTATGGGGACTCCAGGGTTGGCTTAACAGGCAGAGTGTGTGGTTACAATAACCTTACATTCTATTCTCACTCTCCCCCCGAAAATTAAAAAAATTAGGCTACTTGACTTCTCTTGAAAAATTCAGAAGGACTGGGAAATTCTAGGCACATTCACACTTGTCAGCAACTGCCTGTGGCTGGCCAGTGGATGCTCCTTTTAGACAGGGCTCGTGTTCTCTAGTCTGTAAAATCCGCCTGGCTCATTTCACTCATACGTGATTACTGGCCTGGTTCCTATTTGGTAGCTAGGTTTTTGACTGTTACTTAGAAAGACAGGTGTAGTCTGGGGACTATAAAAGTACAGCAAATTAAATAAGCTTTATCATGTGATACAATATGCAATGTAACATATACTTTGTCATCTATTAAGTGTTTCTGTCAAAATATTTAACTTATATCAAGCCTTTGTATCTGAATTCCTGTTTATAGGAAATACACGGAATAAAGCAACAATATTACAATAAAAATTAGTTAAAACACAGATGAATCATAAAGATGTGGTGTACAATGGAATACTACTCAGCCATAAAAAAGAATAAAATTCTACCATTTGCAGCAACATGGATGGAACTGAAGGGGCATTATGCTTAGCGAAATAAGTCAAAGACAAATACTATATGATATCACTTACATGTGGAATCTAAACAAATACAACAAACTAGTGCATACAAAAATAAAACTAGTAAATACAAAAAGCAGACTCACAGATCAAACTAGTGGTTAACAATGGGGCGGAGCGGAGAGGAGGTACAGGGATTGGAGAGTGGAAGGTACAAACTACTGGGTGTAAGACAGGCTACAAGGATGCACTGTACGGCCAATATCTTGTAAAAACTGTAAATGGAATATAACCTTTAAAAATTGTTAAAAATAAGAAAGTTAAAATACAAAAAACCAAAATACAACAATGATTTACTAATGAAAAATATAATGCAGAGCAAAATGCTAACAAGGACACAATATAATTCTAGTTCAACACATACTGTATGATTGTTGATCTTCACATCTTCCTCATACTTGGAGCAGGCGACAGCCCGCTCCTGTCCTTTGATGACTGTCCCATGTCTGGAGTACTCCACATAGTCTTCAGTCTGAGCTAAAAGCAATTCAGCTGGAGGAGCATCCAAGTGTTCTTGACCACCATACTAAAAGAACATTGAATATTATTAAATATATTTTACAAAGATTTGCATTCAAATCTTTACTGAGGGGTTTATTTCCAATCACAAAGATTAGAGGACTAATCTTCACGGGCTTTGTTACATAAAACACAGTGAAAAAAAAAAAGCCATCAAACTTAATAGGCAAATAAAAGATGTCTCAATTGCTATTCATCTGTTGAGTGTGGTGAATTACAAAATGCTCATAAAAAATTCCTCTTATCCTGTGTGCATGCCCACTTGCCACATGATTTTGCTGCTTTATCCCTTGGATCTGGGCCTGGCCATGCTGTTTGTTCTGGCCCCTGGAATATTGGCAAATATGATATAAGCAAAGACCTGAAAAACACTTGTGCACCAGGGCACACTTTGTTGCTAATCTCTGGTATCCTGAGATACCAGATGTCATGTAAAGAAGCTGGGCTAGCCTATCAGAGGACAAGAACCCACGCTGGGTAGAGGTGAGGCCTCCATGGGACAGAGGAGGCCTGCTACCTGCTAGAAACCAAAGGGAGGCCATTCTAGATCATCTGGTTTCAGATAGGCAGGCTCAGAACAGGAGACCCAGCTGATGTACAAAACGGTAAGAAATAAGAAAATATCTGTTCAAACTATTAGGTTGTGAGGTGGCTTGTTTTGCTATAAAAGCTCACTGATACAGTTATACTGATACTGTATACCAACTGCACCTAATCCCAATGGATTAAAATGGACTGTGTATCGTTTGGTCACAATTACCTTTTCCAGGATGCTTTCTTTCTGCTGTTCTTTGAAGTCTTCTTTCTTGACTTTGAAGGACTTATACAATAACTCTAGTTTTGTAGGATCTGCTTGTAGATGCACTTCAGACCCTTTGTCATAGGCTTCCCAAGCAAACACTAGGGTAATTAAAACCATCGTAATGAGTTGTCAGCTACATTGTTTTCGGGCTTCTTGAAAACAAGCTTTAAAAAAATGCCCCCAAATTTCTCATGAGCTGACATAAAATACCTTGACATAGAGGAAACACTTACATTGTGTCTGGGCCATTGATATGGTATCACCTGTGTATCTAACGAAGTTATCCCCCGCGTAGCTGACTCTGTTTAAAAACAACAAAACAAAAACTGTTTCAGAGATTAATTTAAGGAAATTTTTTTCTGACCCAATCACAGATGATACTCATTTTAATTCAGATTGCATTTTATTAATAAAAACTCCCGCCCCTACTCTGAAATCTTTACAGTGAACTTGTTACTTACTCATCTGGATTCTTTCCAGCATTCGCGTAGGGATTCTCTCTCATCGCTCTAGTTTTGGGATCATAGTAAGCAGAATTTGGATCTAAATTCCGCAAATACTAGAAAGAAAAAATGTTTTAAGACTTGTTAATGTTTACTTTCATCAAAGATTTTAGCAGACTAGTAGGAGGAGACAATTAAGTGTGTGTATGTGTGTGCATGTCTGGGGGTACAGCTGAAGAGAAAGAAATCCAGAATGATATACTTTGGAATGACTGAGTATATTACCCATATATTATCCAGATACCATGCGAGTAGACAAAATTTAGGTTGGGAAGACAAATGTTTTCTGAATATGTATGTTAAGTTGGCAAGGCTTACTTTTGCAATATCTTCTCGAATCCTGAGATTCCGGACAGTAATTCGTCTCTTAGAGTCAAAATTCTGTCCAGGCATGTCAATATCATCTGCATATTTATCTTCATCCTCATCTTCACTGTTATGATCTTTTTCCTGAAAGAGGAAGAGAGAAGGGGAAAATTTTTTAAGAAAAAAAGAGCAGTATCTAGTTCTTATTTTCCCTTTAACCCAACCCTTATTCCTTGTGTTCTTTAAGCCTATTATTATTATCATGAGTTATTACTAACATTAGCCATCAGAAATTTAAACCTTAATGTATACACTGATAGGATCTGTATGTATTACCGTCTGAGAATTCGGCTCCTCTTCTCCCCACTGATGTTTCGGAGAATTCTATGCCACAAAAGAAGAAAATGAAATTGTGATTTTATTATACTGAATCAAATGATTATTTAACACTTTTAAAAACATAGTTAAAATAATAAATTTAACTGAACAAATTCTCATATTTCTCACCTGTAGTGAGCACATAAGTTTTAAACACAAGTATGTCATTGTGAATAATTTTATCAGTCTACAAATCCAAAATTTTCATTGATGATATAATCTTGATGATTATAATCACAAAAATGTAATAGAAAGATTAAGTTGATCAATATACCTAATAAATATTTATTTCATACATGTGTATCTTCAGACATAACATTTTCATTAAATTTCACTGTTTTTCTATTAAGGCCAAAAAGGAAAGTTCCCAGGATCATGTAATAAATATCTCTAGAGCCAAAACAGCCTTTGTAAAATTTCGGCAATGAAGAAATCTACTCAGGTGACAACATACTGTGATTTAAGGAGGGTGTGAACTCCATGCCTCAAAGATACCCTTTCTTAATTAGCAGTTGGTCAGGATATTCTCTAACTCCGCAAAATGCCTGGAACAAAGTGCTCAGTATTTCATTATGTCCCTTTAAAAGGCTTCATGTATATGTTATGTAAGACGCTAATGTTGTGTACTACTGTACAGATAACTGGGAAAAAAACAAATCAGCAAGAGATGAATGTTTATATAAATTACTGCACTCAATAAACACTGAACGACCATTAAAGTGATTTGTCCAAGGTGCAGAAAAATATTAATATGTATACTTTGGGCTCCCTAGTGGGTGAGACGGTAAAGAATCTGCCTGTAATGTAGGAGACCCAGGTTCCATAACTGGGTTAGGAAGATCTCCTGGAGAAGGGAATGGCTACCCACTCCAGTATTCTTGTTTGGAGAATTCCATGGACAGAGGAGCCTGGTGGGTTTCAGTCCAATGGGTCACAAACAGTCAGCCACAACTGAGTGACTAACATTTTCACTTTTCTTTTTTACTTTTCATACTTTGCTACCTTTTTTGTTTGGGAAAAAAAAGAGGGAAAAATGGGAATAAGATTATATATTTGTATTTGTTTGTATTTACACAAGAAACTCTGAAAGGATCTGTAAGAAAAAGAAAAATTATGGGGGGTGAGGTTTAGAGATAGGATGGACTGAGGCAGGAGTGGGAAACTTTTCAATGCACATCTGTCTTAAATTAATTTTGATTATTGAACCATGTGAATTTATATAAAAATAAATGTTACAGGTCTACATTTAATGATACAGAAAACAAGTCCTCATTGCACTGTATATTATTTAGTTGAAAAAGTAGATGATAAACGAGAATGTAAAGATGAATCCATTTAAAAAACATGTTATATTATAATCATACACATACATGGATATATGTGAGGGAGTGAACTGGGACACTAAAAGGCCTACTTTAAAATGTAAATGGTTAACATAAGGAATATTTTTCTTCTTTATAATTTTCTATATGTTTTTTCTGAGTATGTGTTACTTTCAAAATTGGAAGTTTTTTTAAAGAATTTTTTTGAGTTCTTGCAAGTTGCTAGCTCAACAAAGGATATTTATATTGCTAAATCTTTATAATAGACACAATCCTAATGTATGCAGTTAATCTTCACATCCAAATGGGCAAAACACACCAGTCCCTTACAAACATTTAAATACGTTTACTAGGAAAATAAATTTTCTTTCTCTTCTTTCTTCCAGAGTTGGTAATGATTAACAATCACGACACTAGCTACCAATTACCAAGTGTTTACTGTGTGATATGTATGCTAAGCCTCGTGTGTGTGTGTGTGTGTGTGTGTGTGTGTGTGTGTGTGTGTGTGTGTGTTGGGGTAGGGGTTGGGTAGGTGTCATTATCTCTGCTTTAGAGATGATGAACTGAGGCTCAGAGAAGCAAATTAATTTTTCCAGGACCATCTTGCTAGCTAGGGGCACAGGTGGATTTTAACATCATCTCTCTGTTAACTTGTGCTTTGAACCTGCCTCTGTGACTGCTCACTTGGTAATTAACTTACCTAGTTCTGTTTGCTTTGTAATTATACTTGCTAGGGGTCCCTTTCTGGAGAAGGAAATGGCAACTCACTCCAGTACTTGTGCCTGGAAAATGCCACGGACAGAGGAGCCTCGTAGGCTACAGTCCATGGGGTTGCAAAGAGTCGGACACGACTGAGAGACTTCACTTATTAAGGGTCCCTTTTAGAAATTTAAACTTGGTAACTCGAAAATGTTTTTTACTTACACCATAAATTTGTTAAAAAGAAACTTTCACAACTCTAATAAGCATAACTTAACTATTAAATTGACTGGGGAAAAAAAATAGGAAAAACATTGTCTGCAATACATCCTTTTTTTTTTTAGTTTGAAAATTCTTTTTGCCTTACATGTTCAAAGTGTAGGAAATGCTAAAATAAGTAAAAAGAAAAATTCACTAATTCTATACTAAATGAGAATTAGTGTTTTAATTTCTATATTAAATGAGAACTAGTGTTCTAGTCGTCTTCCCTGTGAGGTAATATGATATTTTACATGTGTCATTAAAATATGTGTTATCCGGTGTTGTTACTAAGCTTTGATGAAAGCCATTTTAAGAGCTAAGCAACATTCTCTCATGCAGGGGAAGGATAGCTCACTTCACTAATTCCTTATTAAACTATTTTCAATTTCTTACTGTTGTAAAAAGTGTTGAAGTGAACATTTTTGTGCAGAATGATTTTTCTGAATACTAGAACATTTTTAGGATGGATGGATCTACTAATTTAATTCCAGAAAAGGTATATAAATGTTTTATGGCAATATTCTCTCCAAAATGACTGCATCAATTTATAGTCCCTTGAACCTTTAATGTGTCAGTTTTACTCTTTCCCCTTGATAGCACTTCTCTTCTCTCTCAAATTTCTTCTAACTGGAGAGATATAAAATGAAATTTTGTATCAATCTTCATTTTTTGTTTACTAAGAATTTGAAATTTTTTAACGATCATTGTATTACTTACAGCCTGTTCCACTAATTTTCCTGAGGCTAATTCTTCTTGGAGTTTTTGAGCTTTCAGTGTTCGTTTTGCCTAAGGAAAAATAAACATTTGAAATTTACTTTCAATATTCATATGAGCATTTAGTTTTTTTATATATTTATTTTCATTTATTTATTTGGCTGTATTGGGTCTTAGTTGTGGCATGCAAACCCTTAATTGTAGCATATGGGATCTAGTTCCCTGACCAGGTCATGAACCCCAGCCCCCAGCACTGGGAGTATGGAGTTCTGGCCAATGGACCACCAGGAAGTCCCATCAAACGAAGATTTAATTTTTATATGAGTTAAATGCGTAAGTTTACTGTTTTCAGAAAAGGTCACTGGACAAGGTTGTCTTGTAGCTCTAGACCTCTGGCTCCTGAAGAACACGAGTTGTAGGGAACTTCCTTGCAGTCAAATGGTTAGGACTCCGTACTTTCACTGTCAAGGGCCCAGGTTTGATCCCTGGTTGGGGAACTAAGATTCCATAAGCTACATAGGGCAGCCAAAAAACAAACAAAAAATGCCCCAAACTACTCAACACTAGAGTGGCCTAAAAAAGGATGTATGTACATATATATGCAACTGATTCACTTTGTTGTATAGCAGAAACTAACAAAACATTGTAAAGCAACAATATTATAATAAAAATTAATTTAAAAAAACAGATGAATGAATAAAGAAGATGTGGTACACAATGGAATACTACTTAGCTATAAAAAAGAATGAAAATTTGTCATTTGCAGCAACATGGATGGACTTGGAGGGCATTATACTAAGTGAAATTGGTCAGAGAAAGAAAGTACTGTGTGGAATCTAAAAACTACAACAAACTACTGAATAAAACAAGAAAGAAACAGATTCATAGATAACAGAGAACAAACTAGTGGCTACCAGTTGGTAGAAGAAAAGGGGAGGGGCAATAGGCAGGCAGGAGATTAATAAAAGGGGGGTTATTATGGGATTATATGAAATTGTGTGTGTGAAACTTTAGAAAATTGTAAAGCACTGTAGAATTTAAAGAATCTTTCATTTAATAAAAAATAAATTAAAAAAAAAACCCAAAATGAAAATAAGTCAGATCCAATTGGCCATATTTAAGCAGAAGTTACAAACTCCTGTTTGAGTCAGGCATTAATATAAACTAAGACAGAACCAGGGATAAACTGCAGACAGCAAGCTGACAAGGAGCCACTTAACTCCAGATGACTGACTCTTCTCGGCTGGCCCAGGATTACTCTTACCACACAGTTCATTGTTTGAGAAAAGATAAAATTCAGATTTTATTAAAATGTGAAATCCCATGGTCTTAAATGTTAACTCTACTTAAAAAAAAAGGGAACACAAAACCAAAAAACAGCAGTGACTATGTTTTTTAAAAAATGGGAGTGAGTAGGTGAAATCATAACAGAAAAAACTGAGGTTAAATTAAATAAATTTCATATAACCTTTACAGAGCAGTGTGAACATACCATGGGACTTTATGGTTTATTCAATTATCAGTTAAGTCCTCCTGCAAAAAATTTTGATGTTGCTGAACTAATTTCATTCAAGTTAATGTTTTCATTTAACTTGTACCTAAATATAGGTAATTTAGAAAACAGAATTAAGTTCTCTGACCCAAATAAAGAAAGAGACTCTCTGACAGCAGTTTCCAAAATTCTCAAAGGTTAGCTTACCTCAAAACAGTCTTTCTTTTTGTGTGTCATGGCTCCACAGTTTTCACACGCTCCTTTTCGGTATTTAGTAGTTATGGAATTCTATAAGCGGACATAAAGAAAACCAAAGAAAATTTTTATTTATCTAAATAAGAATAACTTTGGCTCTCATTACTGTACTGTCTAATGAAATGACTTGTTAAGAGGAAAACCAGTTATAAATGAGAATGCTTAAAGACTTTAGCAATATCACATTTATAAAATGTAGAAACTAAAGTAGTAGGTATTGTGAATTTTAATACCAGATAAAAGGTCATGTAATCTGTTTATACTTTATATAGTATTACATTAGATGTTCTTATATTAAGTTCTTAGCAATCTCCATTTCTACACACATATACACAGGCTGCATACCTACCTCTTTTACACCCCTCTTGTACCATTCTCCTGATGAGCTGTACTGCTTTTGTTTCTCTGGCTGTGGTCTCTGGTGCTTTAAAGTAGGCCTTTTTGATGGATCAATATACCATGGCACTGAAGAAATATACTGAGGAATATGAGGATTGATGTCTCTGTAATAAAAAAAATTTTTTAAACAAAGTTGTAGACTGTAAGGATATCTTTACAGAATGTAAGGACAGAGATATTGCAGTGGGAGGGGGAGACAAAATATACTTGTTATCACTATAATAAAAAGAGTTAAAAATAAAGTATATTAGAGTGAAAAAATTTCGAAGAGAAACTAAAAATAATCATATAACTAAAGATGTAGGAGATGAAGGAAGATAGGGATATATGTTAGTTCGATTAATCTTTTATCAGAACAAGAAATTAATTAATAATGTCGAGTTGATTATAATAAGAGTAGTATAGGTATGTTATTTAGAAATGTGGAGGTATCAATCAGAAAAACTCAAAACAGATTGACAAATTCAGTCCTCGCTTGGTATCTGAGAAGGACTGTTTCCAGGACCTGCCTCAGATACCAAAACCTGTGGAAGCTCAGATACAAAACCTGTGGAGGCTCAAGTTGCACAGTTGGGCCTCTGTATCCATGGTTTGGAATCTGAAGATCCAACCAGTGGCAGATCGTGTGGAACTTCATGTACTTACTGAGAAAAATATGAGTATAAGTGGACCAACACAGTCCAAATCTGTGTTGTTCAACGTCAGCTGTAGTCACTTGTGTACAGTAGGACAGGGAGTGGGAAGAACTAAAAAGGACTATAGTTATCATTACAAGTCCTTTGTTATTATTTATTAAACTTTATACATATGAGTTTGATACAATAAATGAAAACATAAATGATGGAAATGGTAAAGATGGTTTCTGGTCAAAGCAAAGGATGAGAAATAGGTAAACTAAGTAGACATGAATTTGAATTCTGAATGAACAGATCTTGCAAAAAAATTTAAGTACTTACTTTCCTTCTTCATCAACTTCTGCAGGGGCATTACCCAATTTTCGCTGTTCTTCAAGCTCCTTCTTCTTTCTCCAGTCCTCTCTAGTCATCTTCTTTGGTTCCTCCAAACTCATTTCTTTGGACCCCGACAAGGGGGCTGCATTAGCTGCATCCACAGCTGCAGCTGACATGGTTATCTGGCCTCCTGCATGAAAAGGAAGAAATATCTATTAGAATAAACTAGGCCTTCCTGAATTCACCAGAGAAACTATCAAAAGTACACCCTAATAACACATACTGTGGTTTATATAGAATGTATCATATGTTCTTTTTCTTTCATAGCATCTGTAAGGGAAAGGTCTCTTTCTACTCCACTGAAGTCTTTATATACTGTTGCAGTTGTGCTTTCAACTCTATTGGTTAAGTGGAGAGACATGCACATACATTTAAAATTTCATGAGACTCATTCTTTCATGTATATATTCCTGATTTCCTCTCTACATATGTGTCTCAAACTTTTGTACCACATTAATCCTTAATGAGTACACAGGGTCCTATCTCTGTTCCTCTTAAAAACCGGATGCTTTAAGATCACCTATATTCATTATCTCTATTTCCACATTATCTGCTGCCCTTCTCAATCATTCCCCTCCCTGCTCCAAAGATACCTCTAAGTTAGCAATGTGCTAAGTCCTCTGGACATTTTTCAATTCTGTTCCTCCCCCTTTTCTTTTGATATATTCTTATCCTTTGGCTGATATGACACCATATTGCCCTGGGTTTTTTTATACCCCTATCACTGCTCCTCCTGTATCCTTCGTAAGTTCTTCCACTTCTGCCCAGTTACTTAATTTTGGATTCCTCAAGGCTCAATTCTAGGCTTCCTTCATCACTCTAAACTCCACCAGAGGACAAGTTCATCTATTTCCAAGGTTTCAATAGCCACGATATACAACTGCTGGCTCTCCAATTTACTTCTCTACTTCAGATCTTTTTTATGAGCTTCAGATAAACACAGTCCAATTGCTTACTTCAAAGTACCTCCACTTAGATGTCTCAAAGAAATCTGAACTCAACTAGTCTTAATTCAAATTCATAATTTTCTCTATGAAATCTAATCTTCTTACACTGTTCCCTCTCTTGATGAAAGATACCACTATCCATTCCTTTTCAGAAGTGTTCCAGCTAATTCCCATACCTATTTCATCACGGAAGTACTGTTATTTTCACTTTCTGAATATCACTCGAATTCATTTACTTCTATCAATAACCTGAGTGTATTACTTTTCCCTACTAGTCTCTTCTGATTCCTGCCAATCAGTTCTCCACACTGCAGTGTTATTTTTTTCAAACACAGATTTGGTCATATCATGTCCCACTACCCAAGCTGAAAACCCTCAAATGAAACGCTGTCCAAGAGAAATATACCACCAGCACTATATGTCATTTAAATATTCCATAAGTATATTAAAAAAGCAAAAAGAAACAGATAAAATTAGTTTTTTGCAATATTTTGCGTAATTACCAACACATTTTCATTTCAACACAGGAAAAAATAAATCAATTCTTTAAAATCTGATAAGGATTTTACATGTATTCAGACTGGTCAACAATTCAAGTGCTTAAGAACTACAAGCACAGTTCAGCTCCAATAGCACCTTACAATTCTTACTTTAAAAATCACTAAAGACACAGTCCTGGTCTGACTGGGCACAAATACCACTACTGAGGCCTAGGACAGCTGCTTCCTTGGTTCTCGGTCCCCGTTCCCTTCTCAACCTGGCGTTCATCAATCTCGTGAGGATATTCCTAAGACTTAGGAGCCTCTGGCCCTGTTCCCCGAGTTCTCCACTTTCACTCTCCTCCTCGTTCCAAGTTCTCACAAGATTTCCTTACCCGGTCCCAACGCTGCTGACCCTAGTACAGTTCGATAAGAATGAAGACGATCGCCAATGTTTACTTCCTGACTTCCTCCCTCTCCCGGCAGCCACTGCAGCACTTTCCCGGCGACCCACACATGCGCACTTGGGCCTCAGGGTGGGGGCGGGGGTGCCCAAGCGAAACTGGTCTCGCGAGATCTCGAGCTGTTCCTTTAGCTCTAGGTCAGTAGAATGGGTTAGGTTTGAGGAGGTGCCTTTCTGCTCCGTAGTTTTCAACTCTTAGACTCGACGAGTATTACGACGTAAAATAAAACAAAACAAATTTCATACGGAGAGCAGACAATAGCGTAAGCATCGCTAGAGCGCTACGAGGTGCGTGAAGTTAAAACAGTTAAAATCAGTATTAATAGCCAGGTAGTGTAACACGCTAGAGACAAGGTAAAAACAAAATTGTCTTCCTCTCCTCGAATTTACATTATATAGAGTGAGAAAGACTGAATTATTTAAGTAATTTACCGTTCTAGAAAGCCGCTATGAAGGGTGTACTAGGTGCTTTGAAGACATAGGGCAATTCAGCAATTGTGACACCTCACCCCTGATGTTGATACTGTATTTTACCATTAGGAAAAAAATACTGTAAAACGATTTCCATTGTGGAAAAACAATGTCATAGATAGCTCAACCTTCCTTTAAAGAAGAATATGAAATAAAATTTTCACTTTCTGAATATCACTCGAATTCATTTACTTCTATCAATAACCTGAGTGTATTACTTTTCCCTACTAGTCTCTTCTGATTGCTGCCAATCAGTTCTCCACACTGCAGTGTTATTTTTTTCAAACACAGATTTGGTCATATCATGTCCCACTACCCAAGCTGAAAACCCTCAGATGAAACGCTGTCCAAGAGAAATATACCACCAGCACTACATGTCATTTTAAATATTCCATATTAAAAAAGCAAAAAGAAACAGATAAAATTAGTTTTTTGCAATATTTTGCCTAATTACCAACACATTTTCATTTCAACACAGGAAAAAATAAATCAATTCTTTAAAATCTGATACGGATTTTACATGTATTCAGACTGGCCAACATTTCAAGTGCTTAAGAACTACAAGCACAGTTCAGCTCCAATAGCACCTTACAATTCTTACTTTAAAAACCACTAAAGACACAGTCCTGGTCTGACTGGGCACAAATACCACTACTGAGGCCTAGGACAGCTGCTTCCTTGGTTCTCGGTCCCCGTTCCCTTCTCAACCTGGCGTTCATCAATCTCGTGAGGATATTCCTAAGACTTAGGAGCCTCTGGCCCTGTTCCCCGAGTTCTCCACTTTCACTCTCCTCCTCGTTCCAAGTTCTCACAAGATTTCCTTACCCGGTCCCAACGCTGCTGACCCTAGTACAGTTCGATAAGAATGAAGACGATCGCCAATGTTTACTTCCTGACTTCCTCCCTCTCCCGGCAGCCACTGCAGCACTTTCCCGGCGACCCACACATGCGCACTTGGGCCTCAGGGTGGGGGCGGGGGTGCCCAAGCGAAACTGGTCTCGCGAGATCTCGAGCTGTTCCTTTAGCTCTAGGTCAGTAGAATGGGTTAGGTTTGAGGAGGTGCCTTTCTGCTCCGTAGTTTTCAACTCAGACTCGACGAGTATTACGACGTAAAATAAAACAAAACAAATTTCATACGGAGAGCAGACAATAGCGTAAGCATCGCTAGAGCGCTACGAGGTGCGTGAAGTTAAAACAGTTAAAATCAGTATTAGTAGCCAGGTAGTGTAACACGCTAGAGACAAGGTAAAAACAAAATTGTCTTCCTCTCCTCGAATTTACATTATATAGAGTGAGAAAGACTGAATTATTTAAGTAATTTACCGTTCTAGAAAGCCGCTATGAAGGGTGTACTAGGTGCTTTGAAGACATAGGGCAATTCAGCAATTGTGACACCTCACCCCTGATGTTGATACTGTATTTTACCATTAGGAAAAAAATACTGTAAAACGATTTCCATTGTGGAAAAACAATGTCATAGATAGCTCAACCTTCCTTTAAAGAAGAATATGAAATAAAATACTGGAAAATAATAATTTTGGAGTACAGTTTCCCCCCTTCCCCCTTTAAATCCTATCTGTTCTGGTAACATTTTATTTTTCAAAACAATATGTGCTCCTTTCAGATGTCAAAATGACATCCTTGCCTCTAAAAGAATCTCATCATACGCTTATTAAGAAATTTTAGTGCATTGAGCATAGGAATGTAAATATTCATTTTGATTTTACAGGGCAAAAGTTGAAGGAATGGAAGTTGTCAGAAAATAGTCTGAAAGTGAGTAGTCTATCAGTCACTCACAATTTTTATCTCTTTAATACAATTCCTGAAATTTGTTTGAAAGTGTTAAGGTCCGTTTAGTTAAAACTACCAGGCACAAGTCAGGGAACACATCTCCCAGTGGAATTATGGAATGTGCTGGACAAGAGGGAAGAACTTTTTGTAAGGTTCAGATTCCCTCCTGCAGTATTCTGAGGAGGGTCTGAGGAAGCAGGGATCAGGCTGTTTGATAAACTGGGATCAATTAGGACCTTGGTGTGGTTGTGAGCTGAGGGTAGTTTAGCAATTGGATATCTCCAGTAACAGTCCACGGCATAGCAAAGTGAGTTTGGGGCATCATTAGTAAGAAAACAGAAAAATTGGTTGTGGCATTTTACAGTTACCTTGGGAAACAGTGCTTCCTGTTGTAGGAGGGGAGACTTAACCTAGGGAGATAGAAACTTTGCATCCAAAAACCTCAGGAGGTAAAAAATTCCCACTTGGAAGCTGTAGGTGCTGTTAAAGAGAAAAGCCACAGGCCCAAAATGACTTCACTTGTGCTAAAGCCCTTGATACAAAATTTATGTTTAATAACTAACCTAATCACAACTTCAAAATACAATCACCAGAGATGTAATCCAATCAACCAGTTGGGAATTTCCTGGTCAGTACTGAAGAAGTAATCTGGCACATGGCCCCTTTCCATTATCTCCTCACCCCCACCCTGTCTTTCAGTGGAAGAAGAGGCAATTAGCTGTGAAAACCTCGATGTTCCTTCTTTTCTCCCCTCCAAGGAGGTTCTGGCCTATAAATAATCCTTTCTTTTATTTTACTAATAGCTCCCATGCCCCACCCTTTTTCCTCTAAAAACTTCTGTTTGTACAACCCCTTGGAGCACCCTTCTGATTGCTAGGTGGGAGGCTGTCTGATTCTTGAGTCATTTAATAAAACCAGTTAGATCTTCAAATTTACTTGACTGAATTTTTTTGACAGTGTTGTGCAGACTTGGTTTCAATATGAATATTTTTGTGTGCTAATGATGTAATTCAGAGCTGAGGCACTTAGAAAGAGATATAGGGAGGAAATAATAGGAGGGTTACAAAGGTCTGTCTAGTCAAAGCTATGGTTTTTCCAGTAGTCATGTATGGATGTGAGAGTTGGACCATAAACAAAGCTGAGTGCTGAAGAACTGATGCTTTTGAACTGTGGTGTTGGAGAAGACTCTTGAGAGTCCCTTGGACAGCAAGGAGATCAAACCAGTCCATCCTAAAGGAAATCAGTCCTGAATATTCATTGGAAAGACTGATGCTGAAGCTGAAGCTCCAGTATTTGGCCACCTGATTCGAAGAACTGACTCACTGGAAAAGATCCTGATGCTGGGAAAGGTTGAAGGCAGGAGGAGAAGTGTTTGACAGAGATGGTTGGATGGCATCACTGACTCAATGTACATGAGTTTGAGCAAGCTCTGGGCGTTGGTGATAGACAGGGAAACCTGGCATACTGCAGTCCGTGGGGTCGCAAAGGGTCGGACACGACTGAGTGACTGAACTGAACTAATAAACTAGGGATAAAAGACAGAGGATATGGAAAGAGTAAAAAACATATGCACTTTCTCCCCCTCTTTTCTTTTTGATGTCTAGCACAGTGACTAACACTTAATAAATATTTATTGAATGAATGAGTCATTCAATGTTTTGGCCCTGAAATGCCAGGGAAGAAGGGACAATGAACTGGCATATATTTCGAACTATATCTATGCCAGGTAGTGCTAAGGCTTTTGTGAAAGAGTAATGTAGGCTTAACTCCTGCCTCCCAACTTACCTGCTAAGTTAAAAAGTATCTGGTGACCTGTTGGGAGTAGTTTGGATGGCACAGATCATCCTTGGTCTTTTGAATTGATTCCTTTATCTTGTTTAATATATTTCCATTTACCATAGAAGGACTTCCCTTGTGGCTCAGCTGGTAAAGAGTCCGCCTGCAATGCGCGACACCTGGGTTCAATCCCTGGGTTGGGAAGATCCCCTGGAGAAGGGAAAGGCTACCCACTCCAGTATTCTGGCCTGGAGAATTTCATGGACTATTCATGGAGTTGCAGAGAGTCAGACAGGACTGAAAGACTTTCACCATAGAAAGGAAAAGTTCACCAACTTTTTAAAGCAAAATTTCTCCACATGTCTTGGAAATTGGAATTAATTTTGTATGTCTTTATAATTCCTCTGTTGTTTTTCTCTTGTTTACCCTTCTCTCCTTTCCCACCAGCTTTGATGAATATATTGTTGAGATGTTAAAGGTTTAAAGTAAGTATATTGGTACTTGCCTTGCAGTCCAGTGGATAAGACTCTGCTTTTACACTGCAAAGGGCACAGGTTCCATCCCTGGTTGGGGAACTAAGATACTGCATGCTGCGCAGTGCAGCCAAAAACAAAGTCCTTATTAACTGATAGAATTTTAAGTTCAGAATTGTGTACTCATTAGATCGTTTTGTTCCTAGGGTTGCAGAGTCAGACACGACTGAGCAACTCAACAACAGAATCTGTATAATGGAGACAGCATCCTAACCTGAAATACTGATGATAGTCTTGCAATTATGAAAAAATCAGTACAGTTAAAAAAAAATTGAAGTCTAATTGACTTAAAATATTGTATTAGTTTCAGAATCACTCCATTATTAATTACAAGCACAACGGAATGACACAAACTTGCCATTTTATCTATCTGTACTTTCATTTCTTCTTAATTTTCAATTTTGCTCTGCTAATATTCTCTAGATCTGATACGGGTTCTCCAGGCTAGGATACTGGAGTGGGTAGCCTTTCCGTCCTCCAGGGGATCTTCCCAACCCAGGGACGGAACCCAGGTCTCTTGCATTGCAGGCGGATTCTTTACCAGCTGAGCCACAAGGGAAGCCCTTCTATGGTAAATGGAAATATATTAAACAAGATAAAGGAATCAATTCAAAATGAGGGAGATCTTGGTTTCGATCCCTGGTTTGGGAATGTCTCCTGGAGAAGGGAAAGGCTATCCTAGCCTGGAGAATTCCATGGACTGT